ATTCTCAGTGCAGAATTTTACCTGCTGAGGCAGCTCCTAGCCTGCGGAAAAGCGCATAACAGACAGATGCAGGAATGCTTTCTCGTTAAATTAGGACTATGGATTGCAGAGCTGATCATCACAAGCCTTCCAGATTCCCACCTCATAAGTAGAGAAAGAAATGCATGGTCAGAGAGGGGTAGTGTTTAGGAGAATGTGCATTTCTGCTGACTTCCAGAACTTTCTAGCAGGCCTCAGAATGTGCCCTGTACTTGGTTCACAACTGGGTCGCTTAACCTCTATTCTGCTGTGTTTTTTCAGGTCATAACAGCTTCCACTTCCAGAAAACACTGCCTTGGGATGAAGTTAGGTAGACCTGACTCACGTCCCTGTCCCATGACAAAAACAGTGTGACTATGAGCAGTAGCTTCAGTTTCCTAAGTATTACCTTTTTCATTGGAAATGGCCTAGAATAATAAATCATTCAAGGGACTGTTGTTTGATTAAATGAGATTATTCATAGAAAATACTGGAAACTACGATTGCTGTTATTATTGCACAAGAAGGAGTTTCAAAAAAATATACACAGTTGAGTTACACAGACTATTTGGAGAAACTCTGTGGTACGTGAATGCTGTGATATGGAGACAATACACCCCCAATAAGGTGCAATCAGGAGGCTCAGACAGGGGTTCCTGGAAGAAGCAAAGTGGGGTGTGTCCATGGTGCAGTGAGGCTCTCCCCCCCTTCTCCTACTGTAATTTCGTATTTCTCATTTTATCGTTACATTGGTATGGGGCAAGGATCATATATTCTAATGGAAAGGTAGAAAAACAGAGCCAGAGAAGTGAATCAACTTGCTCACAGGTTTCAGATGGGTTTTAATTGACCTGCCTTATTAACTACACACCAGCACTTGAAGTAGTATGAGTTTTGGCCAAAAGCTAAGTCATAGGGTGCGTATATGAATGTCCTTAAGATTTGATCATCTGTAACTGAATCTTCCCATACGATCATACCCCAAATTTGATAGACTTTCCCATCAATAGGACATTTCTGAGGATTACAGAGCAATCTCACTGGTGAAGAAAGCCAGTGTTTTTGTTTCTGATTGCCAGAAATGCCGCCCTCAGGCAGGTGTGTCCTCTGAGACACTTGTGCAGAAACGATAGCTACACGTTCGAAACGGTTTTTAATGTCATACAAGGGGTGCACAGAGCAACCCTCCAAAACCAACCCACCTTTCAGAAGCCAGTCTCGTCACACTGAAATACAACCTCCTAAATTTATGATCTACTAACCTGAAACTGACCTGGGAAGCAGTTTGAAGAATGAATGATTAAATACTAATGGAGGTCTGCTTTTCTTCTTAATTGCACATGGCACTCAGAATTCTATGAAAGAAATCAGAAGTCATGAAACTAATCGTGCTTCTGATGAAGTGAAAAAAGTTTGGCTCCAAAGTCCCGGCAGGGAGATTTTCGGCTGGCTCATCCCTGCACTAAATGAGAAGATTTGGGGTTGGAGAGTGGCTTTGGATCTGAGAAATTCTCGTGGTGTTGGCAGGACTGGAAAAGGGAGCTCTAGAGGCAGGAGGGCAAGCCAGAGGCGGCTGCAGCCCTCAAGGCTGAGATGTTGGAGGCAGCCGGGTGCAGAGGGAATGAGGTGGAAGCTTGTGGGTGGGAAGGACTGACAGGGGCTAGGGTCTGCCTGGATGTGGGAGGCACAGAGGGGAAGGAGTTCGAGTGACACTGTAAGACCTTCCAGATGGTTTTGGGAGCAGCTGAAAGGAACAACTTGAAATAAACGTCCTACTTTTAAACCAACCATGAAATAGGTCCTAACCTCCAGCAAAGCCTTCAGAAGCCACTAAGCTGGTCCTGGGAAAATTCTATTCTACCTGGATGCCTGAGAAAAGAGTCCTTGTTCAGCATTCATTTTGGAGAAAATGTCATTTTATCACAGGCATTCTTCAGTGATAAAACATAATCTTTTTAATAAGCTGTACCCTGTTACCCCTTCCCTCCCTTTCTGTGAAGGGAGTCACCTGGGCTTCTCCTTTCCTATCTGAAAACTTGGGATAACAGCCCCAGTCTTCCAGGAGATAATGACACCTGAGCCAGGCACACGCCGCTGGAAGGAGGGTTATTAAGGTTTCTCTACTGGTGTGCCATGTGATGCTGGTGGGCTAGGAGGACAGTGGGTGGAAGTTATTGGGAGACAGATTTTGCCCCAGGGAAAAGGCAAACCTGGGATCCAGAACTTTCAGGTTTGGCATAGTCATCTGGAGAGAAAGCAAGCTTCAGGCAGGCACTGAGGGTGTTCTAGCCAAAAGGCGGGGTAGAGTTTCCATAACACTATGAAACATGGGAGAGACGGTGACCCCATCTTCGTGGGTTTACCTAACCAAGGTTACAGGTAGGTATCTGTTACTCCATCCCTTCCAGTACAGAAAGCACAGCGAAGCTCTAATGAATGAGAATCGGTAATGACTAGTAATGGGTTGATATGTATTAACTGTTTGTCACAGGCGGGCACATACTTGCTTCATATATGTTCTCATAGCCAGCCTGTAGGGAAATGCTGTAAGGCCAGGTCTGTGACTAATGTGAGATGGGCTCAGAGCGGAGAAACGCCGGCCTGCGACTCTCAGGAGAAAGGGGTGAAGTCGGGCTAGAAGCACGTTTGCGGGCCCCAGGTTGTAGTTATTGAGGAAGGGGAGGAGAGGAGGGAGCAGGAGCACGGGGACAAATACTATCACCGCACCTTAAATAGTATCAGCCATAAATCACTGGGACGCCCGCCCCAGAGTGAAAAGCGCAGGGTGGGAAGTGCTTCCCACACTCCCGCCTTTCACAGAGCTCCGCCGGCTTCGGGGAATGACCACGCGCCCCAGTGGCCGGGGTGTCGCCCAAAGAGAGTTTGCTTCACGCCGTGACGTGGCTCTATTTGTTTAATATAACGCGAGCCTCCATATCTTAGAGCAAAATGAATGAACACAGTAGCACGCCTGTTATCTCCACCTGTGCCTTCATGCAGCCCCTGGGAAGAACAATCCCCCCCAATATTCCAGTTTAGAGGAGAATCGGAAAACGTATACGTTCATTAGTGTAGAGGTGGGTAAGATACTGAACGAACTAAAAGAAAAAATAAAGTATATAATTATATCAATGAACTAGCATTCCAGAGGTCTGCAGGCGGTGGTTATTCAGTCATCACGCAGGATCTCGAGAGCCGTACGCATTTCACCTGCTCAGCTTTCACCCACAGCACTGATGGAACCCCAGGGCCTTCTGGTCTACCCCGATATGCCCATCCCTCCAGCACTGCTAACACAAACTTTCTTTTGGGAAATAAGCCCAACATTCTCGGGAAGGCATGTTCCTCGGCCGAGTCCTTCGGTGCTCATAAACTCCAGCTGATCGTTGTGTTGAGAGTCAGGAGACAGTGTCCGCCCATCGCCCCTACACCTGTGGTCGTACTGGCTTATCCAAACAGCCCCAGGCCCAACAACAGCTGAAAGGACAGGTGGGCGGGAGGACTTGAGATTCTTTGCCATTGCCCCTTTGTTTATGAACATACTCTGGAATCTGATAGGAATTCTCTTCATTATCATTTTCTGTGTTTTTTTCCCATGGCACTTTTTTGTTGTTGTTACTAATAAGTAAATAGTTGATGCAGAGGGCAATGAAAGAAACAAATACATCTTCCTGTGACCATGGTGGAAGAGGAAATGGGGACGGGGATTTGTTCATGTGGAATCGATATAGATATATCTGTGCCTTAGCCCGGCTGGTGTGGCTCAGTGGTTGAGCATCGACCCAGGAGATGGTGTTTCGATTCCTGGTCAGGGCACATGCCTGGGTTTAGGGCTCCATCCCCAGTAGGGGGCATGCAGGAGGCAGCCGATCAGTGACTCTCCTCATTGATGTTTCTATCTCTCTCTCTCTCTCCCTTCTCTCTGAAATCAATAAATAAATTAAAAATACACACACACACGCCTCGGAGGATAATTGGCAGCAGCCAGGATCCTTTGGTGGCAGGATGAATTCAAGTGGGGACCTGGAAGGGGCTGACGAAGGGAGGGAGGTGATCTGGTGTAAGGTTGAGTGTGAGGTAATCAGAACAGGCCTTGAACTAGGAGATCTTGAGAGCAGAGAGACATGCAATGGAAGCCAGGTGGAAATCCGGCAGTAATCAGTGCCAGAATGGCAATTCCTAGTCGAAATCGCTCCTTGCAGGGGGTGGGATTATTAAAACAGGCCTAAGCTAGGGATTAGAGAAGCAGAACGCAGTATGTTGTTTAATAGCATGTGATTGTAAGGAGGACCCCTCACCTCTCTATGCCTCAGATTCATCTGCAAAATAAAATGAAAATACTAGTACACTTGTAAGGTGGTTTTGATTCTCAAATGAGAAAATACAAGGAAGGTACTTAGCCCCGGGCCTGACATTCTGTTGATGGATGCTGCTATTAGTATTATCATTATTTTGGTCAAGAATGAGAGACATAGGGAGGAGGGAGAGAGTCACTGGGTGTGCATTGTAAGGAAAGGGCTTACTGGCTTGAAATGGGGTTTCTGCTCAGGTCTCAAAACAGTGAGAACAGCTTAGAGGATACCCACCTAGTCTGGCGTGGCATTTACCCACCTCTGCGCCTTTGTTTGTTCCATTTCTATCTCCCTGGCTGGCATTCTCCCACATCTTCATTACAGGCCACATACCATCCGATTCTCACCCACCAGGGCTATTGTAAAAGTTAACTTCATAACATTGTTAGTAATATGCACGGCCATCTGTCCACTGATGCTAGTTACTATTGTCATGCATTTTGGTCTAAACCATCTTGAATGGAAGAGTGCCTTCACAGGGGAGACAATACAAATTACCGGATAACTGAATGTGCGTGTGATTTTAAAAATCAGAAGCCCGTTAGAATGTACTCGAGAGGATGGATCCGCGTTGTCCACCCCCTCCCCGCATCCTGTCTGTAGAGCTAATCGTCTTCCGTGTGTTTCCAGGGACCTGAGGCTTGGCAGCGTGTACCAGTACCGGGTCATCACCATTTCTGGAAGCGAGGAGAGTGAGCCATCACCTGCTGCCATATACACCCATGGAAGCGGGTACTGTGGTGATGGCATTATCCAGAAGTAAGTAGCTCTCGCTAAAGAAAGGGGAGGGGTGGTGCTGATTAGGCCAAGAGAGGGTCAGGGTGCTGAACAGAAGAGTTTCTGGGATGCTCTTCAGTGAGCCACCAGCAATCCCCAGCAGTCTATCAGTTTGCAGCAGTTTGCTACTCTCGGAAGAAAGACAGTGATGATTTTTTGAACACACCTATCTCTCAGGTATGTAATATAACATGATTTCAACAGAGCTACCATCACGCACTGACTACCAGTATGCTCTTGCTCCTGGTGGGTGGATGCATGCCGCAAGGATCCTAGTAGTCCTTCCCATCCCAGGGACATTCAGCTAACGGGTCACAGTGCATCCAGGGCAAAGCACTTTTACATTCTTTGCTGGTTACCAGTCGCATCTGTTAAAATTGCATATTTATTTGTCATTCTATTGTGTTGTATTATATCAACAATTTACAAAATGAGTGAAAGGCTCATAAAAATACCAGAATATTCTAACTCGCTCTAATGCTAAAACCATGAATAGTGAGCAGTACTCCAGAGTGAATACGGAATGTGAAGATAGGTACAGACTACAGACAGGCAAATTAGTGAATGTAAGGATTCCCCAGGAACAGCCAAAAAGGAAGAGTATGATTAGAAAACAGAAAGCTAGGCATCTAAAACGTGGGTTTAATGGGATCAGCAGCCCATTCCTTCCCCTTGTCCACAGGGCAAGGTGTTATGCAACCACAAAACAGGGGCAAGAAGCCCATCAAGAGCTTTGCCTTATTTTTTTTAAAGTTTTTCTTCCAGAACAAGCACAAAATTGAACAGGTTTTTTCTCTAGAGTTAAAGAAGAGACCAAAGAGCATTCACAATTAAGTTCCTTATCGCTAAAACTGCGTTTCGTATCGCTCACGTAGTTGCGAGTCACACTCTCGCTAGGACTTATAAAACTATTGGCAAATCGAATGATAAACATTACGCGTGGAGATGGCAAAGCAAGCTACTGGCAAAATTCCTTCATTAAATGGCACAGCTGGGTGTCCCATAATATCTGCAAGGTGGAATGGCAATGACTGGGGGCAGGGGCGTGGTGAAGAGCGTTGATTTCACAGTCGAATGAGAGCGCTGATGTGCGGACCGTGCACCCGCTCGTAGGTGTGGCCCATACACGAAAGGGACGCGCTGGACTGTTTCTCCAGTGCGTTATGACAGTGCTGAGGGCAAAGCAGTTTACTGCGGCGCTGACCGCGATCCTGTCGCTGTGATGTAAACTGGACACCTCATGGGGATGACAGGACCCGCTAGGAGCTCGGCAAGATTGACACAGTTATGCAAGGAAAGCGTTTGTGCATGAATAGCCCTCTGCACACATGTCGGTTATTGGCCTGCAAGGGCCTGGGACTTAGCATTGAAGGGAAGGGCGAGTGCTGTGAGTAGGATCTGAAGAGGGCCAGTGAGTTACATCTTTTCAACTTGCGGGGCCAGGAGATGCTCCTGTGAGCAAGATTCTGCTCCCCGCACAGCGCGCACACTGAAGTGCACCGACGGCTCCAGGAAAGGTACCAGTTCAAGTTTTGAAATAAGGAGTGACGTTTTGTTGACACTGATAAGGCCAGTGATGATTTTTTTGTACATTTTCAAGGGGTTTGCCAACGTGGTGTATCTCAGGGATATCTATTCATGTCATAAAAGTCCTGCAACCATGAATTCAAAGCTGAACTGTCAAGATTTTAATATTGAGGAGCTAATGTAAGGTGTCTTAAGTGTTGAATTAAGGTGCAAACCACCTGATTGCCAAGAATTGGACTCTTCAAGTATAGAAGATGAAGCTCCTCGTGTGTCAGAGGATGAAACTGATGATGGGCTATTGGGGGTATTTAAGATCCACGCCCAGATGCAACAACCAGACATGCAGATACGGTTTCCAATACTGAAGGTACTAAAATCAGGGCCAGGGAAGCCCTGCGCTCGTCTCTCCCACACTAAGACATCAGCTTCCAGCCCCCGTGCTCCTGCATCTGGTGGAACTCTGAGCCGCTGCGCGAGGCAGCCTCCGGGGAGAGTGCCCCATCATTGTGGGTCCAGGACGGAGCAGCGGATCCAGAATCTCCAGGAAACGCTTGCGGTCATTGCTGAAAACCCATAATTGTGATTTGGGATTTTCTAATTTAGCACAAAGAATAAAAAAGGAAACTCGCTCGATGTGGAACCTGATCTCTAACTCAGTCTCTCCACTTTGGGGCCAGGTATAGACGCGTTGGTAAAACACTGCAAACAGTGTCATTCTGCTCGCTGATCTAAAACTTGACCACTATTGTTATTCATTTAAATGACATTCTTAACAACAAAGTTTTTTTAGTGTTTTTACCTAGAATCGGTATCCTGCATAGACATCAAATACGTGTTAAGTTACCTGCAGATACCTAATCATTGCTGATGGGTCTTGTAGAGATTGAAGGCAGCTAATGAACAGTTCCCCAGGCAAAAACAGACAGACAAACACCCAAAAACAAAACCACAAAACACAACTTTGAAGAAAAGTAGGGATGACATCTTAGCTAATTGTATTTTCCGGGGGGTGATACACACTCATTTGCTCTGTGTGTGTGTGTGTGTGTGTGTGTGTGTGTAGGAGAATTTACAGTCATACAGATAGACTCCAATTCAGTGAGGGCCCTTATGGTTGAAAACACTGGATGAATATATGACAATGATAATAATATTCATAAATATTAATTGAACCTCTACTATGCACTGTGCCACACAATCATTTTCTTGGATTCTTCCAACAAACACATGAGATAGGTCCTATTACTATACTTTCTAAAAGAGAAAATTAACACATAAAGATTAAAGTGGTTTTCTCAAGCTTCCAGACCCAGTAAGGAGCAGAACCAAGATGTGAACCCAGGGCCCAGGTTTCCATCTGGATTCATCTTTGCCTTTCTGTGTGACTGATAACCGTGCAAAACAAGTGAAGGCGTAGCTACACGCGTTCTGCTATGTCCCAGGCATTGTGCCAGGCCTCCGGGCGCAAGGATGACAAAGACTCTGTCACTTCCTTTGGCATCTTAAAGCCTAGGATAGGGAACTCTCAAGTAACAGGCAAAGGCAGACAGTTTGACAAGGGCTGTGATAGATTGAGCCCGGTGTCTTTGGTCACAGAGAAGACGGCCACCCACTCCAGCCTGCGAGGTCAAGGAAGGTTTTCCAGAGCTTCTCTATCTAATGATAGATCTTTCATGCCTAGAAGATATTTGTGGTGATCCTAATTTTATGCTTAAACCAATAGAACACACTGTTTGGGTGGTGAGGGAAGGCGGTTTAGAAGTATTCTTTGTGGCTTAGGGAACCCAGCCCAGGTTTAAAAAAAATCTCTCCCCAGATAACCCATGAAATAGCTAAGAAGCCCAAGGCCATCACCAGTTTCCAACTTGCAAGATTCCCTGGTGGAGATTGGAATAGGGGCCCAGCTTGGAATTTGGACTTGTCTGCTCCAGGGTTTGCAGACAGGAGAGAACTTGGGTGGCTCTTTGGAGATCAGTGCGATGTCCTGGCCATCTTAAGGATTGATAGCAAGGCACCATCCTGCTACTCTGACACCTCCTAAAAGCAACAAACATTGCCCGGGTGAAAGGAAAAGTCTGAAGCCTCTCCCATGCTGTGACAGGTCCCAGCTGGTCTCTGGGGAGGGAGGGACAGCTGCCACACACTTTGCAGAGACCTCCCAGGACAAAGCGGGAATGGGACTGTGATTCCCTGAGCATCTACTATGTGTCACACAGCGTGCCGGTCACTTGAAATTCCATTCCATTCTTGCACCTGCTCTAAGGAGTAGGTATAATTCTCTCCATTGTAACCTGTGAGAAAACTGAACATCAGCATCTAGAATAGCACCTTCCAATGGATTTTTTTGCAACAATGGACATATTCTGTGCTGTCCAACGCAGTAGTCACTGCTGCATCAGCTACTGAGGATTTGAAACATGGCTACTATGACTAAGCCATGGAATTTTTAATAATTTTTTTTAATTGGTTTAAATTGTCAAAGAGAGAAAGATCAGACAGAGAGAACAAATGAGTTGTTGGAGATCACACAGCTAGTCTGGAACATGGGGATCAAAAGCCAAGGTTCTGATTCTGAAAAGATGAGATTTTCTATAAAGCTGCAGTCCATCCAGTCTTCCAGCTATTATTTCTCCTTCCCTTCTCCTAGGTCCAATTAAGAGGCATTGCTCATTTTCTTCCCTTCCTAACCTCTGCAGAATCACCTTTAGGTGGTGACAACAATTCCTAAAATAAACAAGAGGAGGCATTTTTGTTTCCTGGAAGCATAGTTCCCCAGGCCTAGGCATCCTTGACACCAGGAAGCGACCTGCCCCATGGAGAAGACAAAACTTCCTGAGCGTGAGAACGGGAGAAAATCTTACCTTTAAGGGCACTGGGAACATAGGGAGGGGTTGAAACAGGGCCTAGCGAAGGGCAGCATTTATAGTTTAGAAACGCCAAAATCTCCTGTAAGTGCACCATTTTCAAACGGCAGTGATGTTTTCCGGACACCTGGCAGCAAGGTTTTCCATTCACTTGTTCACTCCGCCGTCCGTTTCTCACTCCCATCTGACTTACTAACTTAACCGACAAGGTCTCAGAGAATGATTCCCCGCGGAAATTCTGTTTGTCACCAGAAGCGAACACTAAGGCAGATGTAACAGGATCTTCCAGAGTCACCCCTTTTAGGCATCCCATTTTGATGGTGCTGGGGGACAGGCGCTTGCCCGAGGCTTCGTGGGAAGGTCGGGCCCAGGGGGGGACTTTGCCACGTCCTGCTGTGGCTCTGAAGCTGACGGGATGCCTTTCTGTTCTGTTCTGGTCTGCAGAAGCCGAGGGGAAGAATGCGACGACATGAATAAGCTCAATGGTGACGGCTGCTCCCTTTTCTGCCGACAGGAAGTTTCCTTCAATTGCATTGGTGAGTCTGTCATTTCCCTGGGCCTGGCTGGACACCTGAACAGTAAGGAATGTTGGCCAATGACAATAGCAGCAATAGTTGTGACATTATTATATTGTATTGTATTGTATTGTATTGTATTGTATTGTATTGTATTATATTATATTATATTATATTATATTATATATTTATTATATTATATTACAAATACGTGTTGAGTGCCTCCTGTGGGTCAGGCACTGTTTTAGGCACCAGGGAATGCAGTAATGGAAACAAACAAGGGCAGGTTCATCCCTGCCCTGGGAAGCTTATGTGCTCATAGATGACATCGATGACTGGGAACTAAGTCTCCTTTGATCTAACTCTGCCTTACACAAGTTGTTCTTCACACCAGCCATCCAGGATGGTGATTAGCATAGATTTTTAAGGCTTTTATTCTTACTTTAGAGATGAGCAAAATCAAAAGTCAGAGACATTACAAAATTTGCCCAGAATCAGAAATGATTCAAGACAGGACCAGGACTTGGACCTCATCTTGGTTGATTGATTCTTAAGCATGTACTCAGTGCATTTTACTACACAACCTCCCTCCAGGATCCAGGGATCGCCATGCCACACACACACACACACACCCGCACACTCACAACCTTGAGCGTTTCTCTGGCTCAGGAAGGGGGTACAGCAGACTAGCCTGTGTTTAGAAAGCAAGCGCCCCTTTCCCACCTTCCCTCAGCCTTCTCTCCGAGTCTGGCTGGTCTTGCTTCAGCCCCACTCCGGAGGCCCTGGCCAGCCGAGGGCTGGTAAACAGACTGGGTTGGGGGGCAGGGATGGAATTTTGAGCTGGCCCAGATGAGATCATACTTCCTTTAAGATGCAAATCGATACCTGAAGATCAAAGGTCTCCCGGCTAATCCCCCGGGCTGGAGGTGAAAACTAATCACAAATCATTTGCAAGTACAAAAGACAGAGGTGCTCTATCTGAAGAGGGAAGGGGCTGCCACCTAGGGAATGAAAACAGTGCTGGGAAGATTTCTCGCTGAAAGGCAATTTTCTAGGACTAAAGGGGAGGAAATGTCCTGGGGTCCTCACATTTGCAGTACATTACAGGGGTGCGTTTAGACCGTCTCCGGGTAAATTATGAGCTCTACGAGGTCTTTTCCGTGTATTTCCTTTTATTCCACTCTCAGCACACATTTATTGAGCACCTACTACATCCTTGGCACCTAGTAGGGGCTGAGCAGCACAATAAAGGAATCCCACTGCTGCCGTGGATAGGAGAAAGGAAAGATGGGAGGGAGGGAGGACAGGAGAATTTCTAGGCAAGGCCTTGGGTTTTTAAGTGGGAGAAGGTGGTTTATTTGTTTTCCCACTTTTCCATTGATTTCACTATGTATGGCCCATAATAAAAGCTTGATATTAGCCTAGTGGTGTGGTGGAAAGAGCCTTGGACTAAAATGAAGAAAACCGGGCTCCAGTCCTAGCTGTGGTGAGAACTTGCTGCATAAAGCTGGCCAAATTGCTTCCCTAGCCTGGGCCTCAGTTTACCTTCTGTAACTTAAAGGGATTCAGTGAGGTGGTCTTTAAGCGTCTTACCTCCACTTTTGTTGTGTGATTTTCAAGGTACGATTATTATTTCTCAAAATCACAAGCTCTACTTGAACTACACCCTCGCCTTTGCTGTCATCCTCACAACACCTAACATTACTCTCAGATCTTGCTGGAAAGTATCTTTCTGTTTTACTTGCATGAAGGTGCCCTGTAACCCATGTGCTTCTGGGAGAAAGGTAGGATGTGGAGAAGGTAGGAAATGGTACCCTAAAAGAGATGCTTGGGTTTTGACGTCCATGTTCTACGTTGCTTTAGCAGTGTGTAGCAATAAACAAAAATAAGGTAGCCCCTTGCAGGTAGAAGCTTATTGTCCATGGAAAGGGTCTGCAAACTGCTGTCCATGGACCAGAATAGGCCTATGCTTACATTTGTAAATAAAATCTTACTGGAACACAGCACACCCTTTCTTTACATATTGTCTGTTGTGCTTTCCTGCTACAACATCAGAGTTGAGTGATTGCAACAGAGACCTAAGGGCAAAAGAGCCTAAAATATTTACTACCTGGCCTTTTACAGACCATATTTGCTGACCCCTGGTCTATGGATTTAGAGTCTTTGATGCCCTTGATGGTTGGAGTCTGGTGCAGAGAGGAAGTGAGAATTATGACATAGTTCATTTCTTAGAAAAAGAACAGAATTTTAAGCATACAGTGGTAGGGCCTGGGAGACTCTGTTAGGAATAGGACTGGGCAGCGAGTCCAGCCCCAGCTTGCCTTACCTCTTGGGCCTCACTTCCCCACATATACAGGTCCCCTGGTGTGGACTCAGTGAGTGATCTGCAAACTCTGTTACCTGAAATGCTTCAAAGGAAAGGAGTGAAGATGAGGGAGTTAGTGAGAATAGGACTTGAACCCTGGCAGATCCACTTATATAGGGTCATTTCCTGCTAGGTTCTACCTGTGCTGCTGCTGTTTATTGAGCACCTATTACAAATCAAGCATACTTATAAACTCTTACTCTCACAACAACTCTTTTAGTGCCCTGCTCTTACAAAAGAGGAAATTGAAGCATGAAAGGTGAACTCAGGAGAGGCAGTTAAGTCTTAGAACTGGGGACTCAAACCTAGAGAGCCTGACTCCAAGGCTCACAGTGGTGAGCTACTTGCAAAAAGGTAGCTCTGGGTCTTGTGGGGCTTCAGGGACGAATGAGGAACATATTGCTATTCAACAGTCCATGGAGTAGATTAATGGAATGGCATACAAAGCTGTCGGTGTGGATAGTGTCCAGGGAAGGCTCTCTGTTACCCTGTATGTTGAGTGTGGCTTGCGCTAGAGGAAAGACCTCCACTATGGCCCCCGTCCTTGCCATTTACAACTCCGTTATAGAAACTCACAGGGACACTGGGCATTTCAGGAAGAAAGGTGTCTATCCAGAGATCCCAGCTCCTGGGAACTATGTGCCAAGGACCAACTCCATGGCTTTGAATCTAGAAAACCATCTTCCTCAAGAAAAACAGCTGAAGAATAGACGTGACTCTTTGGTTTCCCAGAGATCCAGTTTTAATAAGTCAGAGAAATGGGATTAGGGTGTGGGAGGCTTTGCAGAGGTGGACGCTGTTCTGGTCATTACATTTGTGAATACAGTGGTCAAGAAAGTGGCCAAGAAAACAGGCTTGAGTGAGACTGACTTGGGTCCACACCAAGATTTAGATATGTAATCTTAGCTAAGCTACAGTAAGTATCTTCATCTAGAAAATGGTAAAATTTCTGGGACTCAACTGTGGAAGTTATTTACCAATATTTTTGGATGCTTACTATTTGAATCCCTTCCCTAGATTTAGAAAAGAACCCTCCTTGTAATAATAATGAGGCAGAGCCCAACCATTGTGACAGAAGTTGAAAACCCAAGCATCTCCCAGTCCCCCTTGTAGCTGAGTGTGGGCACAAGACCTACACTCTTCCCCTTCCCCTTTCTCAGGCGCACCAACCAAATACCGAATCAGAAGACACAGGGACCCTGCAGAAACCATTTTGATAGAGATAGTGGCAGTGGCCACAACCCATGCAGTTCCAAAGTACCAACGACAGCATCCAGCACTAGGGTTGAAGGTTCTCTATGTAGCAGCAGCTCTGCAATGTCTACACAAGATCAGCCATCAGACCTAATCTCGAGCTTGGAATTGGGCTTTAGAGCCTGTGAGCCTGGCTCTCCAGCCCTCCTGGAGAGGCTTCCATAAGTATCCAATGTTCTTTGAATAGAGTTTGTTTGTTTGCCTGTTTTGCTTAACTTAGCCAAGTTGGTTTCTGTTGATTGTCACTTAGAATCCTGACTGAAAATTGTTGTCATAAGATACTATGAGGTTTAGCCCCACTCTCAGCAAGTTGGACATGCTTGGTGCACATTAACTGTTAATTTTCTCAGTGTGTTCGTGTGTGGGGCTGGGTATCAGCAACAACCACCATTTGTCGATACCCACAAGGTGGTAGGCCCGGTGTCATGCACCTTTGTATAATATGAACCTTTGTGAGGTCTCCGGTACCCAGATGAGGGATCTGAGACCTACAGGGACGTCTTAACTTGCCCAAGGTCATACCACCGCTCATGGAGGTGTGATCATGTCTCCAGACCAAGTGGAGAGCCTCTGCTTTTACTACTCTGCCACTCTGCCTCCCCATCTGAGTGACTTCTCCCTCCCTCCCTCCCTCCCTCCTTTTT